TCCGCCCCCCAACCCCCGCCCCAAACCCCCCCAAACCCCAAACCCTAAACCCTAAACCCTAAACCCTAAACCCTAGAATGATCTACGGCTGCAGCACTGTCCACCGCCAGCTGCTTTGCCGGCGTTTCGCCGTTCGGCGTTTTTCTCCTTTTTGGATTTTTTGTTTTCTTTTAAAACTTTTAATTTTCCTTTTGCCTTTCTTCCTCGCGCTTTCCAAACGAGGTCAGTCTGCAGCTAGCTAGCTAGCTAGCTAGCTAGCTAGCTAGCTAGCTAGCTGGCTAGCTGGCTAGCTGGCTAGCTGGCTGGCTAGCTGGTTGGCTGGCTGGTTGGCTAGCTTGCTAGCTAGCTAGCTGCCTGGTTGGCTAGCTAGCTAGCTAGCTGGCTAGCTGGCTGGCTGGCTGGCTAGCTAGCTGGCTAGCTAGCTGGCTAGCAAGCTTGCTAGCTAGCTGGCTCTCTGGCAGGCTAGTTGGAGCCACAGTCGCTAGCTAGCTAGTGATGCGCCTAGTTAGCTAGCTAGCTAGCTAGCTAGCTGGCTTGCTATCTAGCTAGCTAGCTAGCTAGCTAGCTGGCTACATACGCATTCCCTTTAGCAGTCAACAAATGCCTAGCTAGCTGGGCAGCTAGCTAGCTGCTTGGCTCTGTAGCTAGCTCCCCAGCGGCAGTGGAAGAGGCAACCCCCAAACCCTAAACCCTAAACCCTAATTTGTGGTTTGTCGCGCCCGCAGGATGGTTTTACGGCGCCTCTTCTGCTGCAGACTCTGGCAGCTTGGAGGTTTCAGAGGTTTCCGTTTTTGGGGGTTCTGCGGGGGCTGGGGGCCCCTGCTTGACGCAAACCACAAACCCTAATTTAGGGTTTTGTGGTTTGGAGTTTCTCCACCCGGACGCAGTCCAGAAGATTACCTTCTCTTCAGCTAGCGGCGCAGCAGCAGCAGACACCACGGACTGGGTCCTCGACTCGCAGGCAAACCCTAAACCCTAAACCCTAAACCCTAAATTCTAAACCCTAAACCCCCAGACTAAAACCCTAGACTGTAGCGGGTGCAGCGAGCAGCAAACCCTCGTCTTCAGCCCTCCTCAGGAACTCGAAGTCCTAAACCCTAGCCTCCGAAAACCCTAGCAGCGAACCCTAAACCCTAAACCCTAAACCCTAATGCTGCAGGTGGCGACCACAGGAGGGAACAGTTTTCAGGTGTACGTACACCTCAAACCACAAAACAGCGAGTTGCTTTTTGTTCTTGCTGCTGGTCTGACGCTTCATCTAACTGGCTCCCTCGAAGGCGTAAACCCTAAACCCTAAACCCTAAACCCTAAACCCTAAACCCTAGTCGAGCCTCCCCGCAGCGCGTAGCAGGGACCTGGGAACTCCTTTCTAGGGTTTACGGTTTGCTGCTAGTGCACAGGGTTTGTTGCTTAGTTGCCTCTTAGGATTTAGGGTTTGTGGTAAGGGTTTAGGGTTTAGGGTCAGGGTCTAGGGTTTAGGGTTTGACGCCAGGGTTTAGGGTTTAGTAGGACACCTTTGAAACCCGCGACAAGGGTTTACTGCTTGCTGCTAGGGTTTAGGGCTTGCTGCTAGGCGGCTAGGGCTTTACGTTTGCTGCTAGGGTCTAGACCCTGTGATTAGGGTTTAGGGTTTGTGACTAGGGTTTAGGGTTTGTGACTAGGGTTTAGGGCCTGTGGTTTAGAAGTTCTTTGAGGTTTCAGGGTTTGCGGCCAAGCCCTAAACCATAAACCCTAAACCCTAAACCCTAGATGGTTTGCCGCCAGGGTGTGGAGCTCGCAATTAGGGTTTAGGGTTTACAATTAGGGTTTAGGGTTTGCAATTAGGGTTTAGGGTTTACAATTCGGGTTTAGGGTTTGTGGTTTAGGAACCCTTCGAGGCCTTCTCCCAGCTGCCCCTTTTTGCCCCCTGGCCATCTCAGGGGGTTTCCGCTTCTGCGCAGCTGCTGCTGACACAAACCCCCCCTTCTCCGTAAACCCTAAACCCTAAACCCTAAACCCTAAGCCCTAAACCCTAAACCCTAAACCCTAAACCCTAGACGCTACTCAGCTCTAAACCCTAGACGCTGCACTGCTCGCCGCCGCGAATACCCTCGAGGGTCGCCGCCGCCCTCCTGAGCGAGGGTTTAGGGTTTAGGGTTTAGGGTTTGGGGATTCACAAATAAAATTAGGGTTTAGGGTTTAGGGTTTGCGGTTTGGCGTAGCTTCGAGGTGGCTGGAGATACTTTCCAGGCAAAAAAGGAAGCGCTCGAAAAGGCCGCAGGCATGCATACCCCAAACCCTAACCCGCAGACCCTAAACCCTAATTTAGGGTTTGGCTCTGCGCTGGCGATAACAGCTCTGCTGCTGCTGCTGCTGCTGCTGCTGCTGCAGCAAACTCTCCGGTGTACGTACACCTCGTCTCGTCCCAGTGGACGGCGCAGCCGTTCGAGGCCCCAGCAGCAGCAGCAGCAGCAGATGGAGCAGCAGCAGCAGATGGCGGAGCAGCAGCAGCAGCAGCAACTGAGGGTTTTACTCTTTTGCTGCAGCTGTCTGTCCCTCCGGGGCAAAAGCTGAGGAGACACCCCAGCGGCTCTGATATGCTGCTCGAAGTTATCCTCAAGATTGCTGCACCTATTGCTTTTCTTTGGTCTGCTGCTGCTGCTGCTGCTGCTGCTGCTGCTGCTGCTGCTGCTGCTGTTGCTGCTGCTGCTGCTGCTGCTGCTGCTGCTGTTGCTGCTGCTGCTGTTGTTGCCGTAGATGTAGGTGCTGCTGCTGCTGCTGCTTTTGTTGTTAGTGTTCTTCTTGCTTTTGTTGTTGTTTTTGCTGCGGTTGATGTTAGCGTTGCTGCTGCTGCTGCTGCTGCTGTTGCTGCTGTTGCTGCTGCTTTTGGTCGTGCTGCTGCTGCTGGTGCTGCTGCTCCTTCTGTTGCAGCTGCTACTTTTGCTGCTGCTGCCGCTGCAGCTATCGCCACCGCTGTTGCATAAGCTGCTCCTACCGCTTCTGCGTTGCTGCTGCTGCTGCTGCTGCTGCACTACTGCTGCTGCTGCTGCTGCTGCTGCTGCTGCAGGTTGATTGTGCACCTCTTTGTGGGCTTTTTGATTCGCTTTCGTTTGGTCATAGCCAGGCCCTTGCCGCTGAACCACTCCTAAACCCTAAACCCTAAACCCTAAACCCTAAACCCTAGAGCCGCGGCAGCGGATGAAAGCAGCACGAAGAAGGGGCCTTTAGGCCCGCTAAACCCTCGAGGGTTTAGGGTTTAGGGTTTAGCAGCTGCTGCTGCAGATAGTCGTTTGCTTCCGACAGCAGCTGCTGCATATCTTCGAAACCGCTCAGCTGCTGCGCCTCCTTTAGCCCTACCCACCTGCAGCAGCAGCAGCAGCAGCAGCAGCAGCAGCAGCAGCAGCAGCAGCAGCAAAATGAGGGTCTAGGGTTTTGAGACGGCGGGCACTGCGGGTTTAAAGCGCCATCCAAAGGCGGCAGGGACCTGCAACTTCGGGGGGAAGGCCCCAGGGTTTACGAGGGTTTACGAGGGTTTAGGGTTTAGGGTTTAGGGTTTAGGGTCACCTGTACTCCGTGTGCTCGTCAGATATCTTAACGGGGGTTTCAGGGTTTTCCAAAACCGCCAAAAAGTAGCGGCTTTGCTTCGGCTTGCCTCGAGCCTCGTACCGCAGGTCCTGCGCAAACCCTAAACCCTAAACCCTAAACCCTAATTTGGGGTTTACGAGTCCCGCGCAGCACTGGCGACCGTGGCTTGGCCGACCCCCAAACCCTAAACCCTAAACCCTAAACCCCCATCGCCCTGCGAGCTGCAAGCCTCTCGAGCCCTGCGAGGGTTTGCCCTGCGCTGCGGGCCTCCACGCTAGGGTTTAGGGTTTAGCTAGGGTTTAGGGTTTAGCTAGGGTTTAGGGTTTACCCTCCAAAAAGAACTCAAGACTTTCAAATGTTCCTTCTTTAAACCCGTTTCCTCCTGAGTCTCTCTAAGAGCAGCAGCAAGAAAGTCTTCCCCATCGTCGAGGTGGCCTGCAAACCCTAAACCCTAAACCCTAAACCCTAAACCCTCGCAGCCGATAGAAACCCTCTAGGGTTTGGAGATGCGCTTGCCTTTGGGCGGGGTCCAGTGAAAGGGCTCATAGGAGGCCTTTAGCAGCAAAAACTCAGGGCCACCTGCTGCTGCTGCTGCTGCTGCTGCTGCTGCTGTTGCTGCTGCTGCTGCTGCTGCTGCTGCTGGAGGGGCCACACGAGCAACTAGCAGCCCTCCGGCCCTCACGGCGGCGGCCCTGAGCCCCACACAAAACCCTAAACCCTAAACCCTAATCTCTAGGTTTATTTCGTCGTTTGAGGCTGTCTACTTCTCCTTGGTTCGGGATTAGGGTTTAGGGTTTAGGGTTTAGGGTTTACATTTTCCAACCGCGCTTGCTGCAGTCCCGGAGGCCCTATCTGAAGAGTTGAAGCACAATATAAGAAGCTAAGCAGCAGTTTCGCTGTTTAGGGTTTAGGGTTTAGGGTTTAGGGTTTGCGACGCCTCGAGACACACTGTGTTGCTGCTGCTGGTGCTGCTGCTGGTGGTGCTGCTGCTGCTGTAGCCGGTGCTGCTGCTGCTGCTGCTGGCGCAAAGTTCTGCCTTTTTGCTGCTTTCTGCATTTAAAATATAACTATTTTCTATAGCAGCAGCAGCAGCTGCTGCTGCTGCTGCTGCTGCAGCAAGACAGCAGCACGGGGCTGCAGCTGGTGTTGAGGCTTGAGGCGCAAGGGCTGCTGCTGCACCCCACAACCCGGTGCTGCTGCTGCTGCTGTTGCTGCTGCTGCTGCTGCTGCTGCTGCCGGTAAAGAATTTCTGTTTGAAGAAACTTTTGGATCTCGAGGAGCCGCAGGCGCTGAGGTGTACGTACACTGCAAGATGTCCGCAGCAGGAGCCGGATCAGCAGCAGCAGCAGCAGCAGCTCGTGCTGCTGCTCGCTTTGCAGGTTTGAGCAGCAGCAGCAGCAGCAGCAGCAGCCGCGGGCTTTTGGCAGTGCGGGCTTTCAACAGCAGCAGCAGCAGCTGCCTGTTCCCGCGTCGGCTGCTGCAGCCGGCGCAGCAGCAGCAGCAGCAGCAGCTGCAGCGCGGCTTCAGCAGCAGCGCAGCAGCAGCAGCAGAATCTCTTGCTGCTGTCATTCAAAAAGAAATAGCTCATGAAAAAGCTCAGTATGAACCCGAAAAGAAAATAAAAGAGTTTTTGGAAACAAAAAAGTGGCAACTTCAGGAAAAAGAGAATGATGTTCTCGTCACCCTCACCCGCGAGGTCGACGGTAAACCCTAAACCCTAAACCCTAAACCCTAAACCCTAAGCCCGAGGCAGCGGGGCACGCACGCCTGCAGCAGCTTTAACGCTCGCCCAGCCGCAAGGGTTTTAGAAACCCCGAGGGTTTGTGCCCTAGGGTTTGCAGTGCTTGTGGCGTTTAGGGTTTAGGGTCTAGGGTTTAGGGTTTAGGGTTTAGGGTTTGTGCTGCGCGATGCGGGAGGGTGGTTTCTTTTCGTGCTGCAGAGCCTTTTATTCTTTGCTGCTTGTTCTTTATTTTCCTTCTTTTTATTTTATTTATTATTTATTATTTATTTATTATTTATTATTTATAATTATTTATTTTCGGTTTTTATTTATTCTTTTTCATTTGATTAATTGTTCTCCAAGTGCCTTTCAAAGCTGCTGCCTCTCCTCTCTCTGCTGCTGGCTGTGGGGTCTCTTTTCTTTTTTTTGATTCTTTCATTTCCCACCTGTGGCTAGCTAGCTAGCTAGCTAGCTGGGGAGCTAGCTAGCTAGCTAGCTAGCAGGGGCGCTAGCTAGCTAGCTGGTGAGAGGGCTCGGGTAATGGCTTGCCAGGTGGTTGGGAAGGTGGCTAGCTAGCTAGCTAGCTAGCTAGCTGTGGAGGTGGTTAGCTAGAGAGCTAGCAATTAACCCATTACACAGCTAGCTAGCTAGCCAGCTAGCTAGCTAGCTAGCTAGCCAGCCAGCTAGCTGGCTAGCTACAGCGTTGTGTCCGTTTGCCTTTCCGCGCGCTCCTCGAGGCTGCCGTTGCTTACTGCCTGCGCCCCGCTGCTGCTGCTGCTGCTGCTGCTGCTGCTGCTGCTGCTGCTGCTGCAGGGCTGAAGGTGACAGTGGAGTTTTCGTGCATTCAGCCAGCAGCAGCAGCAGAAGAAGAAGCAGCACTTCCGGAGAGTTCGGACTTCACGGTGTCTGTACACCGCAGCGACGGCAGCGGCCTTCTCTTCTACTGCTCCACCACGGCCGAGGACGAGACTGCCAGGTTTTGCATTGGACAGGTCAGCTAGCTAGCTAGCTAGCTAGCTAGCTGTGGCTAGCTGGGTGGCTAGCTGAGTGGCTGGCTGCCGCTAGCTGGGGAGCTGGCTGGAGAGCTAGCTAGCTAGCTGTGGCTAGCTGGGTGGCTAGCTGCGGCTAGCTGGGGAGCTAGATGGACAGCTAGCTGTGGATAGCTTGGTAGCTAGTTGTGGCGAGCTGTGGCTAGCTGGGTAGCTAGATGTGGCTAGCTGTGGGCAGCTATGGCTGGCTGTGGCTAGCTGGGTAGCTAGCTGTGACTAGCTGGATGTTTAGCTAGCTATGGGTAGCTAGAAGCTTAGCTAGCCAGCTAGCTAGCTACCTGGCTGGCTAGCTAGCTGGGGGGGATGCAGCAAAGGAGCTAGCAAGAGGGGCACCCAGCTATCTAGCTAGCTAGCTGGCTAGCTAGCTAGCTAGCTGCCTGCCAATCTAGCATACTGCAGCAACGGCAGCAGATGCTGCCGCCCTTGCTTTCCCGCCGCTGCTCCTGCTGCTGCTGCTTGTGCTGCTGCTTGCTGCTGCTGCTTGCTGCTGCTGCTTGCTGCTGCTGCGTCTGCTGCATCGTCCGAAGCCAGCGCTTCAACGTGCCGCTGGCTGCTGCAGCTGCTGCAGCAGCTGCTGCTGCAGCAGCTGCTGCAGCGGGTGCTGCAGACCTCGTGGGGCGGCGGCGCGAAGTGCAGCTGCTGCTGCTGCTGCTGCTGCTGCTGCTGCTGCTGCAGGTGCGTCACTTCGTGGACTCGAGCAGCAAAGAAAGCCTGGCTAGCTACCCGGGGCCTTACTTCGAAGACCTGGACGAAGCCTTTCAGCAGCAGCTCGACAGCTGGCTAGCTGCTGTTGGAGTTGACGGGCAGCTGTGTGACTTCCTGGAGGCTTTTGCTGCGGACAAGGAAAACCGCGAGT